CATTAATTTATCTATGTCATTTTCAGCAATCAAAATATCATCTATATATAAAGACAATATCGTTATCATACTCCCACTAATCTTAATATATATACAATGTTCGCTTTCATTAGAAACAAAATCAAGTTTCATAATTGCATCATGAAATTTTAAATACCATTAGTTTACACACTTTATTTCATTAACCTTCAACAATAGATCCTTCAGAATGTAGCATGTATATCTCTTCATTTAAATTTCTATTGAGAAATGCAGTTTTAACATCCATTTAAAACAATTCTAAATCAAGGTTAGCCACAATAGACATCAAAATTCTAAAAGAAGAAAATCTTACTGTTGGAGAAAAAGTATCAACAAAATCTATACCTTCCCTTTGGTTATACTTTTTAGCAACAAGTCATGCTTCATATTTATCTATACTACCATCAGTTTTGAGTTTTCTTTTTAATATCCATTTGCAACCTATAGGTTTTCTCCAACTAGATAAATCTACCAACTCCCATACATGGTTTTTAGTTATAGAATCCATTTCTTCATTTATAGCGCTATTCCAAAAATTCATCAGAATTACTAGTTTCTTTATAATTGAAAGATTCAGGAATATCTTGACAAGCAAAGTTATAGTATTAGTCTAAAGTATCCATGCAAATAAAACTCTGATATGGTTCTAAATGATATGGTGCACTTTTGTTCCTAAAACTTCTCCTAGGTTCACTGTCATCTACATTAGTAAGTTCAAATGTATCATTCCCATTATCTATGTAGTTATCACGGTTTTCTATATTAGGTTTATAATTTTCTATGTTTTCATTTGCTTGTTTGTTTTTGTCTAATTCATGTATATCTATACGAGAAAGTTTGTCTATTTTCATATGTTCTTCTAAGAAATGTGCATCTCTAGATTCAATCAATGATTTGGTCTCATGGCCATAAAACCTATAACCCTTAGAAGTATTAGAGTACCCTATGAATGATTATTTTCTAGTTTTAGGCTGCAACTTAGATCTGTCATGGCTCGAGATAAGTACATGAGCGTCACAACCCCAAATTTTTAAATATTCCAATTGTGGTTTACGTCTATAGTCCAAAACTCATAAGGTGTTTTCTCTACAGATTTTGAGGGAACTCGGTTTAAAATATATAAAGCAGTATGCAATGTTTTACCCTAAAAAATTGAGGATAAGTTGGTATGACTCATCATTGATCGCACCATTTCCATAAGAGTTTGGTTACACCTTTCGGCAACACCATTTTGTTAGGGTGTGTAGGGCATAGTCTTATGATTTATTATCTCATTTTCTTTATAAAAATATCAAACAAATTAGAACAATATTCCCCTCCTCGATCCGTTTTAAGGATTTTAATTCTTTTATCTAATAAGACCCAAACGCATATGCCACAAAAATGAAATTTCATCATCACACACATTCAAATAAGCAGAAGAAGATGAAATTTCATTTATTTTATCAAGCAAATACATATCTCTTCGAGCTTTCCCCCATATAATTATTTTCCTATTAATCCCAATTGAAACTTTCTCATCCCTGAAACGAAGTTTATATACCTTAGCATCAAGCCTCCTGATCGAAAGCAAGTTACAACGCATTGAATGAGCATAAAGAGTGTTAGAAAAGAGTAATAAATTCTCATTTGGAATGCTAATTTATATGTGCCAATGCCCAAAGTATCAGACTTAGAATTATTGCCCATAGAGATGACATGTTCGCAGCTTTAAGCTCTTTAAGTTCCACAAGGCCCTCTCCAGACCTGGATATGTGCTTAGTGACCCCAAAGTCCACCCACCAATCATCAATAGACACATTAGCTATCAAACAATCAACTACTACACACAAGTAGTCACAACCTTGGTTGAGTGTTGTGGGTGCCCCCATGTTTGAGTATTGGGATTTAAAGTATCTCATCTCCCCACAAATGAAATATGTTCCCTTGGGTCCATTGATCATAGGCTTCTTGTTTTTATATTCAACATTATGCCGTTTGATTATTGTTCCAAGTTTGATAATGTTTTCTTTTGTTAAAGGATTCTTCATTTCGAGGGTTATGAGTTTGGGCAGTGCGAAGTGCATCAACCTTCCTTGAAGATCTACGATCCCTTCAGATTTCAATTCAACAGCAAAATTTTGAAGCGTAAGATTCTTGTAGTTTAAAGATAAAGTAGAAGATTCTTGCAGTTTAAAGATAAAGTAGAAGATCCTTGCAGTTTAAAGATAAAGTAGTCACAATAATTCCCAAGAATTAGGCAAACTATTCAGTAGAGTTACAACTTGTTGTTGATCATTTAAAGCGTATACCCAGCAAAATCATTTTCCTAACATGTTCAACACATGGTCATTTTCCTTCATCTTAAAAAAATAGTACTCTTGAATCAAAACTCGTAAATTACTCATTGAAGTCACCCCAAATTGTATCTCCAATTCATCATAAATATCTTTAGCATTTTTAAATTTATTAAAGCTCAATAATAATTCATCATCCATATTTCTCAAAATTATATTCCTACACTTCTTATTTTCTTTTTCCCAATTAGCATAAGCTGATCTTTCGGCCCTATTGCTAGCATCAGTGGGTTCAGTAGGAACTACTGTTGATATTATATGATCTAAAATTTCATGCTCTATGATCAAAGTTAATCTTCTTTTCCATGTATTATAATTCGGCCCATTGAGCCATTCTATCTTCAATAATGCTTTAAATCCATGAATAATAAAAAAAAATACAGACCAAATAAAATTAAAATCTAGTTTATAGTTGCAATCTCACTGGGCGATAGTATGGACTATCAAGAAAAGAGCTCAAGGAGAAAAATTGCAATAACCGATGAATTGAAGAAGCCTCGATGTGAATCCAACTCAAACAATAATTCTTCTAACCCTTCTCATAAGACAATGCCCATATTGCAAACAAATAGCATTATATGGGGTTCCAATAGATAATTGTGTCTCTCTAGAATTAGAAAAGAAGAAATATAGAAAAATGATGATAAAAAAATAGACGATCTCAGGATAATAAACAGCAAAAAAAAAAACTAATATATAAGCAGGAGAGAAGAATACACAATATCTCATAAAGGGGAAATAAATGAATTGAAAAACTGATTATTGATCATACATTAGGGTTTACAAGCTATGTTTATAGTACTTCATAGCAATCAAAATAAGAAGGGAATGAAGCACATACCCATTACATAGCCGTTGAATTTGCAGCCCATCACAATCAATTTTGGCAACAAAAAAAAAAACAACCGTCAAGTAACAGTCGCCCGTTGCAGAAAAAAAACAATCTTCCGTAGGGAAAAAAAATCTAACCTCACACTCTCCTCTATATTCCCCCTACTCTCTCCCTCTTGAATGGCGAAGATCATTCAAGATTTTTCAAATAATTTCGGATAAAAAATCTCTCCTCTGCACCGAAGGTTTATAGAGAGAAGAAGGACGGAGGGATGTATCCCTTTCACTTGTGATGGAGGTTTTTTCTTTTTTTGGGTGGTTTACAAGTATAAAGCACCACTTTTAAAATGGATAGAAATGCCTTTATGCAGGATAATTGAATAATAAAGTGGACTATCATAACTTGTTTTGGATATTATAAGTAAATCATTTTGGAAGTGGTAAAAATACCTCAAAAGTAACAACAATTTTTATTTTTATTTTTTTGCAGAAAAAAAAGAAGAGGAAAAACTTATGTATATCGATCTTCATGATATAGGTAAAAAAAAAAAAGATCCGGCAAGTTGCATTTTAAAGCCGATTTAGCCAAACTTGGCTCTGATAGAATTGTTAGCCCCAATAAAAAAAAAAACAATGAAATAAATAAAATGAAATTGAACAAAAACTTAATCGGATCTGTCTTTAAATCACACGAGGGACCCAAGGGTTCATACCAAATCCTATAGACCAAGCCATCTGGTGATAGGCAACCTTAAGAGTCTTATTTGATGAATCGTATTCACCTCTTTTCTATTATTCTCTATCTTGAGAGGTTAATCTCTTTTTATAGAGAACTATTAAGTTTGTAACTCTCATATTTATGGTCTATACGAGTTAAGATCTAAGTATAACTCTTGCCGTAATTCTCTTAAGTGCAGCTAATTAGGATTAACAAGTTGTCACCAAACTATTAATCCTATGTAATGAGCTAAACCTGTTATTATTGCACTAATGACTCACATAATAGGATGTCATCCAAGCATTCTTACAATTTGATACAAGATATTTAGAAATTAAATAATTTTGTGCATCTAAAATATAGAAAAACAATTCTTACAAAGAATCCAAACAGATCACTAGGCTTTTCCTCCGCCGCAACATCCTATAAAAGCTCCAAAAATGGATCCTACTATATGGCATTGCCTCATATCAACCACATGGGATTTCACATATACTATACAATATGGCTATGTAGCATTATTGAAAAATAAATTCCCAGATAAAAGGCCCTGATAGGCTATATTTCCAACATTCTCTCTACAAACTTCACACAAATTTGCTACTTTGATGTGTGTATTTAAATCCTCACTTCGCTTTCTCCGTCACAACAGGCGTGAAAGTTCATAAAATTTCGGTTTTGAAAAACCGAAATTTTAAAGTTTTCGGTTTTTAAAAAACCGAAATTTTAAAATTTTCAATTTTTCAAAAACCGAAATTTAAAATTTTCAATTTTTTAAAAACCGAAACTGGCTAGATTTCGGTGTTTGAAAACTGAAAATGGGTAGCTTCGTCTTTTTTAAAAAAAGTTGTTATGAAGTTCAAAAAATAGACACATAAGTAATAACGAAGCGTATTCAGTATTTTGGTAATAACAAAAATTAAAATAAAAATTTACCTAATTTTCTCTTAAAATTTCATAATTGAAGATAAAAATTAATTCTCATGCCATCCAAAAAAAAAATTCAATAACAATTGTATATTATAATAGCATATTATGTCAAAATTTGAAAGTGTGCTTGACTTGACGAGGTGCAAATGTATAAATTCGTGTGCTGCCTGCACCCCGTTTCACCTGTTCCACATGGTCCTGCAGTACTTTCTTGGTCCCTCTTTTGTCTACCCTTTCAGGCCTTATTTAGAACGTGGGCTCTGTGGAATAAAAATCTATTCGCCAAAACCTGTCATTCTGGTCACATAAATAAATAATGCACATGCGAAGATCAATGGTAAAGCAGGGTCAGAGAGAGGAAGAAGAAGAGGAAGAAGGGAGCGATGGCAGGGCAAGACTTCTCAGTTGATCCAAGAAGCGGTTTCTGCAGATCGAACCGAGTCTTCTACAGCAAGAGAAAACCGATTCCCCACCCTTCCGATGGCTTCTTAGACGTCTTCACCTACATCTCCTCCCACCACCACCGCGGCCGCATCGCCCTCATCGACGCAGCCACCGCCCAAGCTCTCACCTACCCTGACCTCTGGGGCGCTGTGAATTCAGTTGCGGCCGGCCTCTCGGATCTCGGCATCAAGCAAGGCGATGTGGTCCTCCTCCTCTCTCCGAATTCCATTTACTTCCCCATCATATGCTTGGCGATCATGTCAATTGGGGCGATTATCACCACCACCAACCCCCTCAACACCCCTCGCGAGATCCACAAGCAAGCCGCCGACTCCAAAGCCAAGCTCGCCGTCACCACACCAGCTCTCGTCGCGAAGCTTGGCCTCACCAAACTCCCTGTTGTGCTCATCGGGAGCGACACTAAGGCTCAATCTTGTGTGTGTTCGCTGGATGATTTGATGCGCAGCGATCCGGAGAAGCGGCCTGTTGTGAGGATAAGGCAGGAGGACACGGCAACGCTGCTCTTCTCGTCGGGAACGACGGGCGCGAGCAAGGGAGTGGCCACGACCCACCGCAACATCATTGCCATGATTTCAGTTGTCCAGAGGAGGTTTAGCTCAGGCGATCTGCTCACCTTCTTGTGCACGGTGCCTATGTTTCATATCTATGGCCTTTGCGCTTTTGCAACGGGGTTGCTGTCCACTGGCTCGACCATTGTTGTGCTCTCGAAGTTCGAGATCGGGGAGATGTTGAGGGCGGTCCAGAGATACAGAGTGACTCACTTGCCGGTGGTGCCACCTATACTGATGGCCTTGGGTGCCACCGAGATGGCGAAGGGGTTCGACCTGGGGTCCGTAAAGACAGTGGTGTGTGGAGGTGCACCGCTGAGCAAAGAGGCAACAGAGGCTTTCACGGCGAGGTTTCCGAAGGTGGCAATTATGCAGGGCTATGGACTGACAGAGACCTCAGGGATCGGGGCATCGGCTGATACGCCTGAGGAGAGCAGACGATATGGCACGGCTGGGTTGCTTTCGCCGAACATGGAGGCCAAAGTTGTGGACCCAGACACAGGCGAGGCCCTTCTGCCGAACCAGAGAGGGGACCTATGGCTCAGAGGCCCTTCAATCATGAAAGGTTTGCCAATTAAAACCCCAACAAATTGCACGAAGCAAGAAAAGTTAAAAAACTATTGATCTCTTGAAGGGCTCCCTGAACCTTGATTTTGGATTTCAGGCTATTTCAGTAATGCAGAGGCGACTGCTGGGGCCTTGGATGCAGAGGGATGGCTGAAAACAGGGGATTTGTGCTACTTTGATGAGGATGGGTTTCTTTTTGTGGTGGATAGGTTGAAGGAGCTCATCAAATACAAAGGTTATCAGGTCGCACCTGCAGAGCTTGAAGCTCTGCTACTTACCCATCCTAATATAGAAGATGCTGCAGTCGTGCCGTGAGTCCTCTCTCTCTTTCATATTTCTCTGAATCTGAATTTCCTCTTTCCACCATTAAAACAGGGGGTTGTGACTGGTTTTGTTCACATGGAGCAGGTTTCCTGACAAGGAAGCAGGGCAAATTCCAATGGCATTTGTGGTTAGAAAAGCTGGGAGCTCCTTATCAGAAGCGACCCTCATGGAGTTCGTGGCAGCACAGGTAGAAAAAGAGGACACGACCCCATAACTGGTTTTGTTTGATTCTTACATATTACCAATTCTGTTTGATGATGATGTTAATTTGCAGGTGGCTCCTTACAAGAAGATCCGGAGAGTGGCTTTCGTGAGCGCGATTCCGAAAAACGCATCGGGCAAGACGCTCAGGAAAGATCTCATAAGCCTCGCCACCGCCACCGCGGCCGCCGCCGCCTCCAAGCTGTGAGATTTTTTGGAGCAATTTTTATAGTTTCACCAAAGAAGGGGTCAACTCCTTGCTCAAACTTTACCCCAATGTTCCCATCCCAAAAAGTTCTTATATTGTCTACCCAAACAAAAGAAAAGACATCGTAGTCCTATCTTTGATGAGTTAAATCTAACTAAAATGATCTAGAATGTTAACTAAGATGATGTCGAATGTTGTAATTTTATTTCTACATGTATAGTATACAATTTGTACCTTATGTGAAAACAATGTGGGTTTCAATCAAGAGCTTGTACTCACTATTTGAGTATGATCCCCATTTCTTATTAAGATTAAATTTTATGGGCTTTAATGTTGGTTGCGGTTTATATAGAGCTGAGGCTTTAAACAATCAAAGTAAAGTGTACTTTCAAATAATGTTGAGGAATGTAGTTTCGATGCTGGAAATCTTTGTGATTGCTTTAAATATATTTTCATCTATAATTATAAAATTTAAAGCTTCAAAAATAGTGTAGATCGAGTAGATCTATGAAAACTTGAAAATATTGAAAATTGACCTTTCAAAAATGCATTACAAGATGCATTATATTCAAAACTTGAAATCAATATTTTTTTCATGCCCATGCATCTTGATATCGAGATGATCAATTAGATGATATTTGGACATCAAATCAACATCTTCTAGTGAAATTTTTGTGATGGGCTCTAATTTGATTAATTAGAGCCTTAGCTCTATATAAACTTTTTCCTTTGATGTTTGATGTCCTCGTGTAGTTGAGGGTTAAGGTCTCGGTAAAGCTAACTTGTTTTGGAATTTGGTAAAAAGCAATTAAAAACCTCTTATGGGAAAATTAGAGTTTGGGGCCACTCATTATTTATAATAATTTACTATTCCTGATAATGAATTATTTATTGTTGGGCAGTGTTCATGATAAAGTTAAGTGATATGCACTTATAGGTGGGTTTACATATAAGTTTATCATTTTGAAAAAGAGTTTTAACCTTATTCACAATAGCTTGTTGAAAATTAATATTATTGTCCATAAATTATATATTATTTGCTGAAGTTAGTCATTGTGATTTGATTTCGAGGATGACTGAATCTTTATCCTTTGTTCCTTATCCTACACTCCAAAAAATAAATAAAAAGTCTCCTATTCCAATGCAATTAAATATAAAATCTCATAGTTTTTAATCTTTTGATAATAAATCATACCTAAATCTTTAAAACTAATCAGGCCATTCCAAACAATCATATTCAATCAATCTCTTGATATTTTTTTAAATAAAAATGTTTTTCAAAATAATATGCACGCCCTTCTCAAAGAAAGGAATCTCTTTAATGGGGCACTATGTCAAGTAGGCCCATACAACTGAGTGGTGATTACATGGGCACTGGTGTGGCCCAACGTTCCACGACCACATGTGGTCAAGCCGATCCATCCCAATATTTGATTGAATAAAATTGCAGTGCACATCCACGGCCGATATTTGTACATCTTGGTAAAGGGTTATCTTGGTAAAGGGTTAAGTTCAAAAAGGTCAAGGCATTTAAAGACATATTTTTTAACTAAGGAACTAAATTAAATCTCATATTCCCTTTGAAAGTATGCCCTTACTAAATATTGAAAACCGTGAAAGATTAGGTGGCAGGCCATTGTACTCACGATCTATCCTTTTGAGGTAACCCGACATGACGATGGGCTTATAATATCTGAAATAAAAGCTCATCATTGGACTACTAAAATTAGCCAGTAAATTGTCAGTATAAATGTTATAGTGAACTACAAGCACCTCACCCACCCCGAAAGACAAATCATGTCACATTAAGACATGTACACAAGCATCCTTTACCTGTATATGACAAACCTCACAGGTGTATCATGTCTATATGCCATGGGGTGATATGCCATGGATTTGACCTTTGGCTTCCAAGCCTCTACACTCTCACTCTTAAGAGAATGCATTACCATAAAGCGATCTCAAATAACAAGTGATCCATTATCCCTCTTCCAGTGGTAGACCAAGCCTCATGCCTTAGTATCTGAGGCTCAAGGATTTTTTACTTGAACCATTCTAAGGCATAGACCATTAAATCACCCCCTCTAGGCGGTCATACCACTTGGACCACAATCTCACTAAGCTAGCGTGTCATTTTATTGATATACCTTGAATCCACATGGGTGAGTACATGGACAAGGCGCCATTAAAGACCACAAACCATTTTGGTGCCGCTATATAAGGTGGCGCTTGAGGTTTGGTTATATAAAGTTCCGACTTTATGCATCTGCACCTCGTGTCAACCAAAAAATGCAGTGCTTGCACCAAATAACCTGCAAATAGGGATGTTATTGGGCCCAGGCTGGGCCCGAACCATCTTGGTAGGCCTGAAATATTTTTGTTCTGGGCTTGGGTTAGCATCGGCATGACCCAATTTTTTTTGAATTACATATTTCATTTATATTAAGGGAAAAGTTTATATAGAGCTGAGGCTCTAAACAATCAAATTTGAGCCTACCTCAAAAAATTTACTAAAAGTGGTTATTTTGACGTCCAAATATCATCAAATTGATCATCTCAACATCAAGATGCATGGACATGAGAAAAAAATGGATTTCAAGTTTTGAAAATAGCGTATTTTATAATATATTTTTTGACCGTTAATTTTCAAGATTTTCAAGTTTTCATAAATCTGTCGTTCGATACTATTTTTGAAGCTTTAAACTTTATATATAAAGATAAAAATGTATTTTAAAGCTATCACAAAGATTTTCAGTATTGAAACCACATTTCTCAACACTATTTGAAGGTAGGCTATAATTTGATTGTTTAGAGCCTAGGCTCTATACAAACTGTACCGTTATATTAAAATCTATATTTATATAAGCCCAGGCATGACCTAGCCGATTTTTGGGGCTCAGGTCTGGCTGAAACTAAATTTTTGGGCATGGGCATACCTTTTATACTCTTCCCGGCATGGGCTTGGGCTTGGGCTTGGCCAACCCGACCTAGGCCCGTTACTAGCCCTTTTTGGAAATCAATCACCTCCACCTCAACAATTATAGAGTTCAAGAAAAATAAAAATTGTCATACCTAAAAGTTGTCGATCTTGCGACCCATTTTATGCACCAACAATTTCAAGTCTTCACATATGTGCTAAATCTGCATAATTTTTGGAGCTTAAAATTTTACATTAATTTGAATAAATGGATTTGCGGGCATCACAAATTTTTCTAGCTCTTGATCGAGCTTTCCCCAAGGGATTTAGATATGTGACCTTATCAAATTTCATAAAGTTACAGCCTTAACAACACCGTATCCTATAATACTTGAAAGGGAATGTATTATGTACCAGCGATGTCTATTTTGACTACAATTAAACGCGACTAAGGTCAAAACTAATTTATCATAAAAATCAGATTGAGGTGGTTATTTGTAATAGTTTTCAAGCAAGCAAAAGCACGGTTTGAAGGTGGACACCTACAAACATGATATAGAGTGGTTCCTTTCTTTGGTGAAAGTAGAATGGCTCCTGAAGTATAGTAGTCCACCAAAGTAGGCTGTAAAGTTAGGCAGCTGTCATTTTCTAAAGGAAAAAAGTTTATATGGAGCCGAGACTTTAAACAATCAAATTAGAGCCCACCACAAAATTTCATTAGAAGAAGTTGTTTTGATGCTCAAATATCTTCAAATCGATCATCTCAACATCAAGATGCATGGATATGAGAAAAAAATAGATTTCAAATTTTGAAAATAGTACATCTTGTAACGCGTTTTTGGACCGTCAATGTTCAAGATTTTCAGGTTTTCATAGATTTGCTGGATCTACACTATTTTTAAAACTGTAAATTTTAGAATTAAAGATGAAAATATATTTTAAGGCTATCACAAAGATTTTTAGTATCGAAACCACATTTCTCAATACTATTTGGAGGTGAGTTTTACTTTGATTGTTTAGAGCCTTGGCTCTATACAAACTGCACCCTTTTTTAAAAGGCTTGTTTGAAAAGGGCAACTTATTAATCTAATTTTAAATACTACATGCCTTGAAAATTGAAATATTCATAGTATATTTAGCCTCGGGGACAAAACATTACCATTTTCCTGTGCTGAAAATAGGGAACACCATTTGGCCACATATTGTTCTAAATTATCTTCCAATAATTGTGTTTCTGTCGACTGTAAATGAATACCAATGCGAATTGTGTACTATATTTGGCCATCAATAGTACTGGGTGGATTACAAAAAGAGTGAGAATAACCTCTGACCCAATCCTAGATAATTGCTTCTTTTGTAAATATCCTGGTCTAGTCCTCCTCGTCGTATGCCGAAGAATCAATGCTTTAAAAAAGGAAAAAGTTTGTACAAGGATGCAACTTTAGAACTACGGATGCACTTCAAAAATTAATGGGGAAATGTAGTTTTAATGTTGAAGGACCTTTTTATTGATTATCTCGACATCGAGATGTATGATCATAAAAAATAAAAAGATTTTCAATTTTAGAAATAGTGTATTTTATAACATATTATCTACACCGTCTATTTTCAAAAATTTTCATTTGTTCATAGATCTACTTGATTTTAACCATTTTTAAAATTTAAATTTCTGTAATTAGATATAAAAATAGATTTTAAAATAATCCTAAGAACATTTTACATCAAAATTATATACCATGATAAAATTTGAAGGTGCACTTTACCCCTACACATACGGATGCATCCGTATGCCAACTGCACTATTTAAAAAAATGCCCAATATGGATAAAGAATCGTCAACGTTGAAATGTTCTCAATTTCTCATAAAATATTGGGAACCGGCTCATTTCACCATGACATAGATAGTTATGACCGGTTCTCCGACAGAACAAGCGCCACTTCTTTTCTTTCTTTTTTATTTGTTTTTAAAATTTTAAATATCCAATTCAGAAATCCTTATCCTCGATTTTTCCAACCAAAATGGAAATCCAGAGGGTGACCCGGATCACTGAACCGTGTTTTTTAAAACTTTTTAAACTATAGGGAATGATGGTCCTCATAATATAACATTAAATTACATGATGTAAATGCTCCCCACTGTAAGATATCGAAATGTACGGCAAATGAAGTGCCTACCATGTATGTGTACCAAATGTAACATTTGAATATGCTCTAAGCTCACATGATTCGCTTAGACTTTAGAATCCATTGAAAAAGTTCCATATGCATATGCAATAGGAAAATTGTTACATGCGGGCTGGACCGCATTTCTACATATGCAGTCCAGAATGCGCAAAGCATCCATCTTAAAAGATGGATGTAAGTTGGTGTTCCATTTAAAAACAAAGGAAACTAACGGTCCAAATGTTTTCTTACTAGAATTATTATTTTTAATTTTTAAAATTTATTTATTTTTCATATGATTTTCATGTTAGAAATTACATGTCCTTAAAAATTAAGTCTTAAAATCCATCTCAATTAAGAGGCCCGCATTTCTACACATGGGGGCTTGGCCGCATAGAAATTGGGTCCTATGCAATAAGCTCAATTTGGTTCTTTGGTAATATGCAAAAATTATGCATATTTTCCAATACCTTAAAACTGACTCAAGTACTTTTTTGATAAATTTCAAAAGATGTGTTCGGCTCCATGAAATTCTATAAAAGGGGTTGGCTAGAAAGAGATCATTTATTTTTATTACAAAGAAGTCACAACTATTTCTACTCATTCCATGTTAAATCGGATGGTTTTGGGTGAATCACGAAGTTCGAAATTTTTTTTTTGAAATGTTGTCTATTTATTAATGATATCATTACTTTTAAAATTTAATAGACAAGAATGATTGTTACCTCTTTATATAAAAGAAAAGAAGAGGATAAATGGTCATTTTTCAGACAAACCCTTTTATAACCCGCACATATATAAATGCGGGTTTGGCAATAAATATGTTTTTTTAACTATGATTTGATCCAAATTTTTAGAAAATATATAATCTTTAACATGAAGAATAAATAAATAAATTTGAAAACTAAAAATAACAATTATATTAAGAAAACATATGGACCATTAATTACAATTATTTTTTGATGAACCACCGTATATTTTATAAATGCGGTGCAGCCCGCATGAAACAATTGTTATAAAAATTCTGCGAGCCATCTTTAATATTAAATAGCTGAAATCTTGATTTGATATTTCCTAGTTATTGTTACACACAATGGAACATAGGATGCACCGAGTGCATGAAACGGTCAGGAGCACCACCATGGCCCATCTTAGAGTCGGACGAAGGCTTTCCAAGTAGCCGTTCTATATCACAATCGATTCATCATTTGAAAGAATCCAAGGCCACCGCCTCAGTTTTGGTGGGTCCCAAATTCTGACCGCTTTTCCTAGTGACCGTTAGAACGTACTTAAAACCCAGCCCTGCTTTCTGATCCTCTCTCTCTCTCTCTCTCTCTTGTCCGCTCCCCTCCCTCAGTAGCTATGACCTACCTTGCTCTTGCTCCTCTCTGCAAAATGCTCTCCATGTTTCGAAAATCCTTCAATTCTTCCAAATGGTAACGCACACTCTCTCTGTCTCAATCTCACCTCTTTTAGCTTTGTTTTCTTTCTACTTCTCTCTCTGTACACTGTATCATTTGGCATTTCTGCACTGTTTCTTCTCACACATTGACCATTGTCATGAAACCAGCAAGACATTGGTGAAGCTGGCCATGTCCAGGATAAAGCTACTGAGGAACAAGAAAGATATACAGATCAAGCAAATGAGGAGAGATGTAGCCATGCTTATCGAGTCTGGGCAGGAAGCAAGTGCTAGGATTCGGGTATGTGCCCTTTAACCTGAACTGTTGGCCCAATAAAGAAATGCTGTCTAAAAATGCTGGGTCTTAAAAGTATTACTGATTGAATGGGTATCTTGTTTTCCTTCATGTTTTAGCATTCCATTTACTTGAAGTACTCTTTCTATTGAGGGTTGGAATTTTCCGAACTCCGGTTTGTTCCATTCCTCTTCATTTTCCTTATATGTTCAGTTGCTTTCATGGTCTGGCAGTTGCCCTGATTCTTATTATAACAAATGGCTCTTTTTTCTTATTTGATATTGATCTAGTGCAACTAAATGCAATGCAATGCCTTTTTATTTGCTTTGGATTCCGCATATAGATTATTATTTCCATTATTCTAGTAATTTAAGTTCTGCTGATAAATTGTTTGCAATATAATTTGAAATTATGGTAAGCAGCATTGAAATGTCCTCGGTATGAGAAGTATCAAATAGGTTGGCTTGTCCAATAAATATACCTAGAAAGGGGTATCCTAGGTGGAGTCATGGGTATCTTGTTGTGAAGGTAATAATTGATATTGTGCACACTAAATATTACCTCGCAAAACAGTTCTTATTGAGGCTTATATTAAGCAAGAAAAATGCATTGCTTATATTAATCTAATATAAATGATTTAAAATTCATTATGTGTATTTTTGTGATTTTCTCATTTTTCTATTCTCTGAAATTCCCCTTGTTTTTCAGGTTTTCTGATATTTTTAAGCCAATAACATCTATGGAATGTTTGAATTTCTTGTGTTTTATTCCTAATCTATGTTTATATATTTTTCTGCTTTGTACTTTTTTTTTTGAATTTTTATGATGTTTCTGGATTTTATTTATTTTTTTTTCATTTTTTTTTTGGTCTTGGCCACTTTTTGAAAACCCGGATCAACGGGGGGAACTAGTCATCTAGGAAACTGGTCCAGATCAGCTAATCGACGATCCAGATCGGTGGATCGGCTTGTTCCGGTGGATCCGTCCTTAAAAAAATTAAAAAATTACTAAAATGTCTTAAAAATTTAGTTTTTTAGGTTTCAAGAAGAAAATGGGGTATAGCATTTTATTTTACCTAAAATATGTAAATACTTCAAAAAATGAAGAACCCATGCTACTTTGGAGGAACAATAGATTTCCCACCCAAAAGATTTCAGTGAATATTAGTGAAAATTTCAGCCATCTTCATTAATTTTGGTAAAACGTCAGCAACTTTAGCATCTTACTCAATAAGCTTTGCAAAATTTCAGCAAGATTTTAGGGATTTTCTTTGAATTATTGAATGAACAACATCACAAGGTTTGGATGCTCATTTCACTAAAATTTCAGGAAAATTTTAGTAATTTCGTTTAAGTTTCTAAATAGTGGGAAGATTTAAGGAGAGAAGAGAAGAAATTGGGGATCTAGTGCTTTCTAAGAGAGATACATAAGAGGTGGGAAGGATTTGGAAGAGGAACAAAGAAATTGGGTTCAGTTACAGACAAAGAAATAGTGTGAGGCCCTGTTCTTGCCTATGCTAGGGCTAGTATAATTACAAATTCATCTTCAAAAGTACCCTTTATAGTCCTTGTGCTTGCCTATGCTAGGGCTAGGATAATTACAAGTTCATCTTCAAAAGTACTCTAGATAATTATTAAGAAGACCAGCTTGCTTCTTGGATGAAAACCATAGATATACCTCAAGGTTCTCCTTAAAAAAGAAGAAATTATAGAGCTGATAATTTGCTAATTTTCACGGAATGGGTGGTAATACGAGAGATATTATTGGCTAAGTTAGCTCCTTCATTAAAAGCTAAAACAAGATGGAGCATAGGCAGTTGTTATCTTTTGAGAAGATGGAACTGTTAATTTTCTCATCACAATAAAATCGTGTCATACGTTCTCCTAAATTTTCTATATAGTATATAAATACATTGTCTAATACTTTCTTATTACATCTTAGAAAACCCGAGCTCTTATTAGTCCCACAACAGGGATTTTTGAAATTTTATGGCGAGGCAAGGACTTAATGTGGGTCATGGGTGCTAAGCAAGGTATGCATACCTCAGCTTGTGCTGTCTCATTGCAAAGAGGGAGGGGGCCACTCAAACAAAACATAATGAGCACTGCGAGCACCACAATCACTCGTAGGTTAATACAACACATAAAAGCACAAAATCAGGAAGCAAGCTTGGACAAAGATCACACCATGATGAAACTTCATGAAATACTACGTCTATTGAGACACAAATCTCCCATGGGAAGGATCCATGCCTCGGCATCCCTTCTTTAGCTCGTTCTACCCGATAAACATTGCTCTCACAGTTTTCTTTGCTAAACTTGATTTATTGTGGCTTCGGTACCATCACATAACATATGGAACCAATACCTTGAATGACTCTCTATCGGTCTCCTTCCTACAATCTCTCATATGGGGACACTTGCCTAAACATGGTTGCAGTAAGCAATTGATTACATGAGCTGCAATGTGAATACACTTTTCCTATCACTGAAGCCGCATATTTCTTCCGTGCATCAAGCTTCGCATTGTCTCCATGAGATGCCTATTTTTTCTTCCTTCCACGCCATTTTGTTGTGGAATTACACCGAACTCCTTCAAGTATGCATCGAACTCCTTTCACATATAGTAGCTGCCATTATTAGTCCACAAGCACCAAATCTTATGACCAAACTCTCCCTCGACATGTTTACAAAGCTCCTTGGAGCTTACTAACTCATCGGACTTTGCCTTCAAAAAGATAAGCCACATGGGCTGTGAGTAATCATTATTGAAAATGAGGAAATAGAGGTTATCTCCAATAGATTGGCACTCCATTGGAGTGTACCACCTCCAATGCCACATTCGAAAAGGATTTGTTGGAGATGGTTGCTGATGCGCATTTCCATATGGGCAGCCTGTCCATACTGTCTACGCCATGGCAAGATTGATGCACTGAGTGCTTCGTGGTCACTATAGCAAGATTGCCCTTGAACGTTCGTAGCCACAAGAACTTCTTGTGGTCACATGCCATGTAGTGTGAACAATCAGAGTCCATGAGCCACTCAAATGCGTAGTCCATGGTTTCTCTTGCACGAGACTTGGTTGCATCAATCTCCAATGCGATGAGGGATTCTCCCCCTTGTAGTGAACCCGATTCGAGGTCATATCTACAACTTGAGCAAACCCTGCTTGCACATTCCAGTCACAATCTTCATCTTGCGACTACTTCATGAAATGGTCATTTATCACTTCATTCACGTTCTTGGTCTTCCTTGGCATTTGGCACTACTTCATGAAATGGCTTGACTTTTCACCGTGATAGCAAGTCTTCTTCCAATGCTTATCGTGTAATCCGCTCCTGTTGTCTTCCTTCTTGCGAGGGTCCGACTTTAGGGGCTGATGTTTTGTTTTTCTTCCCACGTTGCCCTTGGGTTGCTATGAACCTTGCTCTCCCTTACAGAGGGCCTAGCCATCTATCTTGCTAGAGACTCATCATTAACCATCACATTCTCCAACTTTGTCAATGTGGGTTGTGTAGGCCATTCCTGCACAACGGTCAAGAACTTATGAAACTCCAATTTAAGCTCGCTGATGATTAGCCACTACATATGCTTCTCACCGAGCCGTCACTCTTTATCATGTTTCGAGATCTTGATGCACAGGTTCCTCACTTAACGAAATGGCTTGGCTCTCCACTGTGATAGCAAGTCTTCTTCCAATGCTCATTGTGTGATCCGCTACCGTTGTCTTCCTTCTTGCGAGGGTCCAACTTCAGGGGCTGATTTTTTGTTTTTCTTCCCACGTTGGCCTTGGGTTGCTATGAACCTTACTTTCCTTTACAGAAAGCCTCGCCATCTATCTTGCTAGAGACTGATGATTAACCATCAGATTCTCCAACGGTCAAGTACTCATGAAACTCCAATTTAAGCTCACTGATGATTGGCCACTACATGCGCTTCTCAACGAGCCGTCACTCTTTCTCATGTTTCGCGATCTTGATGCACAGGTTCCTCACTTACATAAACTATTGAGAAATAGATAGTGAACCCTATGTCAATGAACCTAGCTCATTCTCCAACAAGGCCAGCCATTGTTTACTCGAACAAGAACGAGAGCACATCCCATACATACTTTGGGGTCTTTTATGTCCATGATGTGGTCCATGAGCTTCTACTGGATCGATTATTTTATTCGAACACATACAGTGCTTTACCAAATCTTCCACTTCTGCAAGGCTTCTCCATACGCAACTTCTGTTGTTGGTGTGACAGTGTCACTGCCATTCTCCATCTTCTAGAGATCATGCCCTTGTAAGTACGATTCCATGCAGGATAGCTGATTGATGTAGTTGCGATCATTAAGTTTCTCGATCTCGGCTAGCAAGCTCCTATTGTCTGCCATGTCAACTATGATTCCTTTGGTTCTGATGCTCAATGCTTTCAAGCCAAGCAGCCTAAATCACGAACCTCCCTTTAATACCTCTTGTGGAATTGCGCCAATTGCGCATCAACACAATGAGCAATGCAAGCACCACAATGACTTGCACATTAGTAAACACACAGAAACAGAAATCAAGAAGCAAGCTTGGACAAAAAGACCACCATGATGAGGCTTCATCAAATATCATGTCTCTTAAGACCCAAATTCTCGTAGTGGAACGGTCCATGCATTGCCATCCATTCTTTTGTTTGTCATATCCAATAAATATTGCTTGCAATACTTTCTTGCTAACTTGGTTTGTTATGGCTTCAGTACCATCACATAACATATACAACCAAATACCTTGACACAACTCACTAGCGGACTCCTTCCCATAAACTTCTCATATGGGACACGTACCACAAATGTGGCTGTGGTAAGCGATTGATTTCACAAGGTGCAGTGCAAATGCATTATGCCAAATATGGAAGCTGCACATTTCTTCCATGCATCATTCTTAATGAATTAGAACGTTGTTCGTGGTGTGCATCACATCTCTCTCTCTCTCTCTTTCTCTCTCTAACCTTCAGAGAATTTAATCCCAAGCC